TTTTTGGTCTAGTGACGATTAAATATCGGTCGTTTATTAAAGGATGCTTTACGCTGAATGCATCCCAAGCTCTCACCCTGGGAAGTAATTTAAGTTCATTCCTTGGTTCTCCTCGTTTTACAGGCAACGTTGTCGCGCTTGGATTCGAATTTTTGTTGTGATTATCCAGCTTTATTACCCTTCGAGTAGGTTTCTGAACTAGCTTTTAGTGCTGGTATTTGCAGGATTTGGTCATTAGTTGCATGGATCATGTGAAGGGACGACTGCGTCTGTTGAGAAGATTTCTGTCGTTTTAGATTTTTGTCAGTAGAACGAGGTTTCGAGTTCACTCGACAGTGGGAGACCTGTTCACGTATGGAAAATTGTGTCCTTTTTTGACACTGATTCGCGAATCGTAACTCACTGCCATTCTGGCCAAGGTTTTTCACAAGGTTGAACTGCGTCGTTCTTGGTTTAAGTTATTTTCCTTTCTTAATCAAGGCTGTAACTTTGGTTTTGCTGATTGTTAGGTTATTTAAGTGTCCGAGCTGACTGTGTCGTAGACAGGGTGTTGCCTACTTTATATTCTCGCTTGTTAGGATTCGCACGCAATCGACCCATATCTGTTTGGTTTGTTCCTTCGCTATTGCTTGCAGCAAGTGAACGCCACGGGATAATGGCTAACGTTCACTGTATAATCTCTCTGACGGTCTAGTATAATGTCCGCAATCTTGTTTTTGTCTCTTTGGTAGTACCCAGACCCTTGAACGGGGTCAAACTCTTTCCTAACGTGCTTATTTTTATGATCAGGAGTATGCATGTTCCAATACGTTTTCGTGTTTGAATTGAACATTATTTTGCCGACGGGTGAAAGTACATTGGTTACCCGTTATTTACTTTGAAGAATTGACGTTAAAATTCTTTTTATCAGTTTTAAGATTCTTCACCGCTGTTAAGTTACTTCTTAGTGACGAAGATGATATGTGATCTGTGGAAAAAAATAATAAATCCAAATGAAGATATGGCCGTTGCAGTTGTAATCGGGTGTTCAAAGAGATCCCAATCTACGGCCAGTTTGCATCAGTGCTGCAATGCTCTTCCAAGTTTAATTTGCAATAGGCCAGTTTCCGAGTTGCCCCTAGCTTCTGTTTCAAAACAAGGGTAAGTGCAAAACTGTTAATAATAATAATAATAATAATAATAATAATAATAATAATAATAATAATAATAATAATAATAATAATAATAACAATAATAATAATTATCGAGATAAATTAATTACAAAGCTTAAAAATATTTAAAATGCATGATCCACCGTGTCAAATGCTGGGCTACTAAGGTCTATTAAGAGCGAAATGACTGTCTCGTTTTGACCCAAAGAACAAAAGATGTCATTTTGTACTCTAAGTAGCGCTGTTTCAGTTGAGGGAAATTCTTTGTACGCTGACTGAAACGCCGGAATCAAACTTGATTCAAAGAAACCTTTCCTGTTTCCTTGTAACTACTTTATGTAAGACAAAGGGGGGAATTTCATACATCCCACGATGCATCGCTTCATACTATATTATCACGCTTCCGAACGCACGTGATGCTATCAGTTCAACAGGGACGTGACAGTTGAACAACATTGGAAGGCGACATGTTTCGCCGATGAAACCTTCTGTACCTTTGCTGTGTCGATCTTTTTACGATTTTCGTTTTACCATTCCAAATATATTTTATTTGCGTGAAATGACCAAGGAAACATTTTAAATCATCAATCAGACACCAAAGATTAACAGAGCACATTGAAACTTACCTTGGATGAGCTCCATCTTGAAATTCAGCTCATTGAAAATCTCTCTCGAAACCCTCGAACGTTTTTTCAGCCGCGAAGAGAGGATAGAAATTAGCCGCGAAGCATCATGGGATATATGAAATTCCCCCCTTTATGTAAGAGAGAGGAAATATTGCTAGAAATATTGTAACCATAAGTGATATAAATCTTTACAGTTGTACAATCCCAAGATAAGGCACCTCCAGGAAATCGAGTTGGTTCCTTTTATGCTTCAGTCATTTTCTTTTACTTTCTATAAGAATTACACCTGTTCATTACTACAGACATTTTGTGACAGTCCCAATGGTGTCCATCTAAGAGAATTGACTGTAGTTACGTAATTATAAGCCTATGAAGACAAGAATACAATGGTACTCAGTCTTAATTTATTCTACTTATAATCAAATTAAGACCTCTTCATGTTCTTCTTCATATTATGCACTCGTTTTTCTTTCAATGTGTGTCCTAGTAATCTTTTCAGGCCAGGCACTCGCTGTTGTCCTGCAAAAAATCATAATAACAAACACATTCTATGATTTAATATGTCTAATTTTACAGTGGAATCGTTATGGGGATTTGAAAGCAAATTTCTCTATAGGCTTCATTCTATTTCTGTGCAAAACAACCTTTGGATTTATACCGCAGTGAGAGAGAATTTGTCGTTGTTTACATTTAGACTGTCTGACGAGATCATTCGAATGCAATATTCTAGCAGACCCTTAAATGTAACCTTCTTGGGACACGGTTCTGTCACCAAAAAAATTATTTACAATCTTAGTGTATATTGAAAAATGCAAAATCGCTAAATTGGGCACCTGAAATCTTTTGTTTTACTAACAAGCTAAACTTCAACGTACACAAAAAATCGTTGCTATCGCCATCATGAAGTCGTCACTTCAGAAGTTAAAACCTTGACGGTTCATAAATTAAAGTTCATAAAAGTTCATAAAAGTTAGCTCTAAAAATTTGCATGCACAAACAAAATTTTTAAAACCATGACATGTTTTTTGTAGCCGTTTATTATCATTTGGTTTTGACTGGCAAGATAAAACGCGACCTTCAACCTGAAATGCTCGATAGGCCATTTTGACATTATATAAACATAAAAGGCGAAAAAAAACATTACCTTATAAGACTAACTATAAAATATCACCTAAATATTTTCTGTGTATTAAATTTGATCATAGATTGCAGCGCTCTAAAGATATAAAGCAATATACCCGAACCTACCTCCAGCTAGACGGCGCCATTTTTGTTTCCCTGACAGCGGATCGAGAGAGGAAAGGCGAACTAGTTCCAGTCCTACTCCGCATCACAGCTGAACCAGATAGCACGTGTGAGCGTTTCAACGCCCTAGCTCCTTACGCCCTAAGACCAAGTAATTAGTAAGGCGCCGGTCGGTCACACATCTCGAAAGCGGTAAACTTTTCTTTACTCCTCTCTTGTTTTAAAAATTGCGTCCATCCTTT